AACACATATAAACATTATAATTAAACATAGAAATTATAAAATATATATAGTTAAAACCAATGAAACCATTAAAGAAATCTATTAAACTACATAAAACACAACATAAAGCTTCTGGAGCTGAACTACTGTGGGAGGAAACTCAAGAAAAGATCATTTTTAGACTCTCTACCATAGCACTTTGGCTCCAGAAAGCATTCCAACTAATATCTGAGCTCATTCCTGCCAGAGACACAAACAAATTACCATATATACTAAAGTGTAAGCCAAGTTTTTCAGCACTTTTTTTAGGCTGAAAAAGCCCCCCTCGGCTTACACTCGAGTCAAAGTTATTTATTATTTTACTCTATTTATTATTATTATTATTACATTTATTATTGTTACATTTGTTATTTTAATCTATTATTACTGTTATTGTGTTTATTCTTTTACTCTATTTATTATTATTACATTTATTATTTGATTCTATTATTACTGTTTTATTACATTTCCATTATTTTACTCTATTTATTTTATTATTATTACATTTATTATTTTATTTTATTTTTGTTATGACATTTATTATTTTACTCTATTATTATTGGAAGGATACATGAGCACATTTACATTGAAGAGGATTAGAATAATGATTTAATCAGAGTTGGACAGTCTTATCTTAAATTACAGTTTTATGTAAATATTCAAAACATTAACCTACTGATGCCTCAATTAATTTTATTGGTGTCTATTTTTATTTTGAAATTTACCAGTAGCTGCTGCATTTCCCATCCTTGGCTTATACTTGAGTTTTCCCAGTTTTTTTGTGGCAAAATTAGGTGCCTCGGCTTATATTTGGGTCAGCTTATACTCAAGTATATACAATAGCTAAAATCAGCTAAAAATAGCTAAAATCAGTTCATTTACTAATTAGTTTTTTTCTAATGAAAATGAGCTATTTGAAGTACTTTTTTTAAGTGAACAGTGTGGCTTAGAATTTTATCAACTTAATCGTAGAAGTAAATTATTAAGTTTTTTTGTTAATTAAATTAGAGACTTGTAAAGAGCCAACACATTTTATAGTTTCTAGTTTGTTCCTGACCAAATCCTGGTTGTTATTGTTTTCTGGAATTTTGAAAAATGCCTGCTGTAATACTTGTTGTGCGGTAGCAAAGGAGCATCGTCTTTCCCCAAACCAGCTTGGCGTAAACACTGATCTAAAATTTGGTAGGCAACTCCACCCGTATTCTTAATTTCACTGTCTGGTGCATTCAGCCTTGTGACAGATTATACCATATTACCATTGCAAACTGGCTCTTGTAGCCTGCCAAGGTATTTTGCAAATATATAAGAACATATTTAAAGCTCAGGGGGAATACAAACTAAATGCACTGGTGTTATAGGGATGCAGAGAAGAGCTAAATCATGTTAATCCAACATGGTGATCTTCAACTCCCAGAATCTATTATTATTAGCTATGTTGGTTGGAGCTTCTGAGAAATGACATCCAACAACAGCTGACCACTCCCAAGCTGACCACTCCCAACTTAGAATTAGGTAAATTAAGAACCTTATCACATAAAGAAGAGTTGTCAAATATCAATTGGTCCTAAGGGCACATAGCATGAAGAATAAATGGAAGAGAACAGGATAATATTTGTTGGAATGCAAAAACTGGAAAAATATAAAAATGGTGTCACAATGCTAAATTTTGAAGTTTAGGAACTCATCAAAACAACCTCCATATCTGTGTCATGAAAAAGTACCTGCAGTTTTAGGCAGCTGTATTTTGCATAATAAACCAACTATAGCACAAGAAACAGGTAAATCGAATGGATGTTAATTATACTTTAAAGACTAAACCACTCCCAAAATATTTTGCAGTATAACACAGACATCTGATGACAAGAGATTGTTTCCAGGAACATCTATTCTAGCTTCTCATCTACATAAAGCCGTTAAGCTCAGAAAGAGACAAAGATGGCAGATGATAACATCGTCTCTGCTAATCAAAACGTCCTAGCACATCAATCCTATTAGTCATTGATTTGCCACACCATACTTGGAAAGGCTATGAAATCACATTGGGGAAAGTGTAACTTCTGATCTCTCTATAGACTTCTAAAAGCATAACAGCTCTCCATGTTATAAACCTGCAAGAGAAACATATGTTCCAGCTCTCTGTATTTACACTGACAAACCTTTAGTATATGTTCGATTATGTGTCCCTATTTTGTCCTGTTTTATTTTTGTGGATTGCTACTGGAGATGTCCACTTTTAAAAAACAATGTTGTTTCCATGCTGTAGTGTCAATACACTGGAAAACTGTTGTCCAAGGAAAATTAGATTTATATTTATATGTATACTAGCACTTTGTGCATTGACTAGAGATCAGGGCAGTATGGAGAGAGGTGGAGACTGCAGGGTGGAGGGAGGGGGGAAGGGGAGATCAATACCCAGTAATCTTGGCCTAAATCAAAGCACATCACCTAGAACACGCACTGTGGATAGGGGGGAGGGACAAGCCGGGGGTGTGTGGACCTGGGGTGGGGGGGTCCCCATTGAGGTGGTGACTGGGAGGGGGAGATGCGGGAAAGGGAGACCCAAATTATCAATGTGGCAAAAAAATTGGAACAGACCAAAAATAGTAATTCGACGCATAGACGGAAACTCAAATTACCAATTCGGCCAGAAATTGAAGGAAGAATTCTTGTAAATTTAAATAGGGCTCCCGACAAGGTTAAGCTGAGTAACCAGGATGGTGGTCCCTTCAGGTTGCGAGTGGTGCTGTTCAATGCCAGGTCAATGAATGGAAAAACATCTATTATTCAGGATCTAATCCTTGAAGAACATGCTGACATGGCTTGTATAATGGAGACCTGGTTGGATGAGGCTGGGGGGGTTAATCTCTCCCAGCTTTGTCCACCAGGCTACTCCGATCAGCACCAGTCAAGATCTGGAGGGCAGGGAGGGGGTGTTGCAATCATCTATAAGGATTCCATCCCCCTGACCAGGTGCCCCATCCCGCAGTCTTCCACATTTGAGTGTGTTGGCCTGAGGGTCGGTGACCGGGACAAGATAGGGATTCTGTTAGTGTACTGTCCACCCCACTGCACTACAGTGTCCCTACCTGAGCTAGCCGGAGTGGTCTCAGGCCTGGCGTTGGAGTCCCAATAGCTCATTGTGCTGGGGGACTTCAATGTCCATGCCAAGACCACCCTGTCAGGAATGGCTCAGGACTTCATGTCAGCCATGGCAACCATGGGCCTGTCCCAATTAGTATCTGGTCCCACCCACAGTGCTGGACACACACTGGATCTGGTTTTCTGTCAGGGATGGGAAGAAGGTGGTGGGGTGGAGGAGCTGCCATGGGCCAACCACCATCTGATCAGGTTTAGACTTATTGCGCCTAAATACCTCCTCAGGGGTAGTGGACCCAGGAGACTTATGGATCCAAATGGTTTTCTGACAACTCTTGGGGATTTTCCCGCCTCCTCAGTAAGTGACCCTGTTGAGGCTCTGGTCTCTCTCTGGGACAGGGAGATGACCAGGGCCATAGACACGATTGCTCCAGAATGCTCCCTCTCGAATAACCGAGCTCAACCAGCTCCTTGGTTCACTGAGGAGCTGGCAGCGATGAAGCAAAAGAAGAGGTGGCTAGAGCGCTTGTGGCAACAGAAGCATAGCGGGTCAGTCCAAGCAGGAGCTATAATGTGGCAATAAAGGCTGCACAAAAAACATTTCTTGCAGCCAATATTTTGTCTGCTAAGAATTCTATGGCTGAGCTGTTTAGAGTTGTCAGAGGACTATTAAATCCGCCTCAGAGCGAGATCCCTGACAACTTGGCAGATCACTTTGAAGCAATTCGTCAACTTTTGGCCGGTTTCCAATCTTCCCTACTTGGGCAAAGTCATGGAACGTGTGGTGGCCTCGCAATTCCAGGGCTTCGTGGTAGGCACTGATTATCTAGATCCGGCACAGTCTGGCTTTAGGCCAGGACATGGCACTGAAACAGCCTGGTCACCTTAGTAGATGATCTTTGCTGGGAGCTCGACAGAGGGAGTGTGTCCCTGTTGGTTCTGCTGGACCTCTCAGTGGCCTTCGATACTGTTGACCACGGTATCCTTCTGGGACACCTCTCAGAAATGGGACTTGGAGGTACTGTTCTGCAGTGGCTTCAGTCCTTCTTGGAGGGTCAGTCTCAGAAGGTGTTACTGGGTGACACCTGTTCAGCTCCACAACCATTCAGTACTGTCCTGATGTTATTTAACATCTACATGAAGCCACTGGGGGAGATCATCCGGAGTTTCGGAGTAAGGTGTTATCTATACGCAGATGACGTCCAAATCTGTCACTCCTTCCCACCTGTTACTAAGGGGGCTGTCCAGACCTTGAACCGGTGCTTGGCCGCTGTGTCGGACTGGATGAGGGCTAAAAAATTGAAATTGAATCCAGACAAGGCAGAGGTCCTCCTGGTCAGTCATGAGGCCAAACAGGGCATAGGGTTACAGCCTGAGTTGGATAGGGTTACACTCCCCCTGAAGACACAGGTTCGCAGCTTGGGAGTGATCCTGGATTCATCGCTGAGCCTGGAACCCCAGGTTTCAGCAGTGGCTAGGGGAGCTTTTGCATAGTTAAAACTCATGCACCAGCTGTGTCTGTACATTGGGAAGTCTGATCTGGCCACGGTGGTCCACGCTCTGATTACATCCCGAATAGATTACTGCAATGTGTTCTACGTGGGGCTGCCTTTGAAGACGGCTCAAAAACTTCAGCTAGTTCAACGGGCGGCAGCCAGATTACTAACTGGGATGGCATACAGCTTGGCTTTTACATGCAGTCTTTGAGTTACAAACATCTGACTTATAAACAACTCATAGTTAAGAGGAGGGGGGTTGAGACAACAGGAAGTGAGGGTTATCATGGGGAAAAGATGTCTCAACTGAAGCTTTCCAACGAATCGTTTCCACAACAAGCCAAATTTTTCAAAATCCAATTATCACAGGGACAGAAAGTGAAGTGAAATGATAGCAGGGTTAACCTCAAGCTTCCTCCTCGGCCTCTTCGCCGAAATCCTCCTCTTCCTCAGTTGTGGCGTCCTGGTACTGCTGGTATTCGGAGACCAGGTCACTCATGTTGCTCTCAGCCTCTGTGAACTCCATCTCATCCATGCCCTCACCTGTGTACCAGTGGAGGAAGGCCATGCGGCGGAACATAGCAGTGAACTGCTTGGAGATGTGCTTGAACAGCTCTTGAATAGCTGTGCTATTGCCGATGAAGGTGACTGCCATTTTGAGACCTTGGGGAGGGATGTCGCACATGGCTGTTTTGACATTGTTGGGCAGGGTTTAGAAAAGGAAGAGTAGTTTGGGAAGAATAGTCATTTTTAGTATTGCAATTCGGCCCAACAAGGATATGTTTTCGTAATTCCATCACTCGAGATCTTTTTGTATTTTCTTCCAAAAGGTCTTCATAATTATTTTTATTAATTTTGTGTTACTTGGTGTGATAGTTACTCCTAGATACTTAATTTTATTCTCAATCTTTATGCCTGCTTTTTCCTGCAATAGTTCCTTTGCCTTTTTCTCCATATTTTTCACTAGAAGTTTTGTTTTTTGTGTATTTAATTTAAAACCTGCTAGGTTCCCAAAAATTTCAAATTTATTCAGCCAATCATTAATATTATTCAACGGGTCTTCAATAATGCAGACGACATCATCCGCATAGACTCTCAATTTGTATTGTTGCTTCAAAATATTCATTCCTTTTAAATTTTTTGTCTTTATTTATATCTCTTATTAAGGTGTCCATTATTAGGATGAAGAGGAGTGGTGAAAGCGGGCAGCCTTGTCGAGTTCCTTGTGTAATCTTAATTGGAAAGGATTCTTGTCCATTTATTATTAGGGTGGCTTCTTGTGATTTATAAATTGCATCCAATGCATTCCTGAAATTGTATCCCATGTCTATCTCTTGTAGTAATAATTTTAGATAGTTCCAGTTAACTTTATCGAATGCCTTTTCGGTGTCAATAAAGAGCAAAGCTAATTGTTTTTCATTATGGCTTTCGTAATATTTAATCGTGTCTATTAGAATTCTAGTATTATCTTTGATTTGCCTATTGGGGAGGAAACCTGCTTGTTCTTTAGAGGCCCAATCTTTCAAAACGTTTTTCAGTCTTTCTGACATAATTAATGTGAATATTTTATAGTCATTGTTTAACAAAGATATTGGTCTGTAATTCTTGATCTCTAATGGGTCCGTACCTTCTTTATGTATTAATGTGATATTTGCTTTTTCCCAAGATTTGGGGATTGATTTATTTTCTAATATATTGTTCATAATATCTTTTAGCAATGGGCTTATCTCATTCTTATATACTTTATAGAATATTGTGGTATAGCCATCTGGGCCAGGAGCCTTATTATTTGTTAATGTTTTGATTGCACTATCTAATTCAAACATAGTTATTGGCCCATTTAATATTTCTCTTTGTCTGTTAATTTTGGCAAGTCTAGTTTACATAGATGTTTAGTGATTTCTTCCTCTGATGTTTCGGTTTTTCTATATAATTTTTTATAAAATTTTGTGAATTGGTTTATGATATTGCTTCCTTCTGTATAGATTTCCCCTTCAACCTTTATCTTTGTGATTAATTGCTTCTGTTTGCGTTTTTTAAATTTATTAGCTAACCATTTACCTATCTTATTTGCATTTTGAAAATAGTTTACCTTCATATATTTCATCTCTTTCTAGTTTACCTGTTTGTGTTAGTTGTAATTGTTTTTTGAGGGCATCTAGTCTCAATATTTTTTTTATCTTTAGGGTTTTTTTTCCCAACAAATTTTCCTCTCTATTTAGATTCTCCAGGATGCTTTTAATCTCTTTGTTCCTATTTGCTTTGTTAATAGATTCCTGTTTGATAAAGTACCCACGCATTATTGCTTTCATGGCATCCCATTGGGTGTTTTTTGATGTTTTCTCCCTTGTTCAAATCAAGATATTCTCCTAATAATTTCCTATTTTTTTACATATCTTCTTCTGTTTTTAGAAGATAATCTTTAAGTCACCATCTATATTTGGTGCCTATTCCTTTAAGTGTAATTTCTATAGGGCAGTGATCTGAGAAGGCCCTTGCTGTGATTTTTATCTTTTTTATTTTTAGCAATATTGAATTAGTGGCCCAGATCATATCTATCCAGGACCAGGATTTGTGTCTACCTGAATAATATGTAAAGTCCCTTACTGTACCTTTGATGTGTCTCCGGGTGTCCCGTAAATTTAGATTTTCCAATTCTAATTAAAAAAATTAGGCAGCAGGCATGCTTTACTTCTATCTGGTGGATTTTTTAGGTTGTTATATGATTTATACATATTTAGATCTACTACCCCATTGAAATCCCCCAATAGTATAAGTTCGTCATATTCTTGTTTTTCTATCTGTTTTTTTAATTCTTTCGGACAGTATTGCAAATCAGTGTTTTCAAATTCTTTATTTCAATTAAAACTCCTATATATCTTCCTTCATTATCTTTGAAGGCTTGTTTTGGATTTAGCCAATTTTTGACATACAGGACTACCCCTTTCTTCTTTTCATTAGTTGCTTCATAGAAATCTTTATCTAGTTTTCCCTGTGCTAAATATTTCACATGTTTACTGTATACATGTGTTTCCTGCAGCGCCACAAGGTCATAGTTTTTTCTTTCTGCTTCCTTCCTCACCACATCCTTGACTGAATCCCCCAGCTCAGCACCTTCTGTATAATGCCCTTTGGCCCAGTTGTTACCAGCTCCACTCTGGCCAAATACGAAGTTGTCTGTTCAGAAAATCTGCCCAAAAGGTCCAGACCTCACGGAGTCCATTGTTCCTGGCTCCAAATCAACCAAAATGGCACGAGGAACATACTTGCCACCAGTGGCTTCATTGTGTTAAACACTGATGCAATCAAGCTGTAGGTACTGTCCCCATGGTAAGTCCCAGTGGGATCAATTCCATGTTCATCACTAATCACATCCCAGAACTTTGCACCGATCTGGTTACCACATTGCCCAGCTTGGATGTGCACGATTTACCTCATCTTTGCCTGGCTTTTAAAACACTTTCCCCCCTCTTAATTACTTTTCCCTCGTTCCTTTTGCTTCAGAGCCGCGCCGCTCCTTTAAGACTCAGAACGCTGGGGAGCTCAAGGTTCGATCCTCCAAACGCGATGCAGAGGGAAGGCAGGAAGCCGGGCGAGGTGCCCAGACAAAGGTTTTATAAACTGGCGGGCGCTCCGCGCTCCGATTGGCCCGCAGGTGCCCAGACAAAGGTTTTATAAACTGGCGGGCGCTCTGATTGGCCCGCGGGCGTTGGGAGCGGCGCCAGAAAGTGAAGTGAAATCTTCTGAACAGGGGCACAGACTACAAAACAGCTATGTTATCCAAAGCATGCATATAGATATAGATATAGATAGATATAGATAGCTCTCTAATTACACTTAAAATGTACATTTTCCCATTTACATACACATTATACAACTTAAGAACAATTCCACAGAACCTATTTTGGCAGTAATTTGGGGACTGCCTGTACTTACGTTTATTTTTAGTCTAGGACTGGCAAAAACTTGAAGGTAAAAAGGCATCAGGACCAGTTATTTCCTGAGATTCATCGTAGGCCCCTGCAACACAACTGTATAAAATCTACATTGAACTAGATTACATGGCAGTGAGGACTCAGACAATCAAGTTCAAAGCAGATATTGCAGAATATCTGCCTTGATATTCTGGGTTATATGGTGATTTGGAAGGGCCCTTAGTCCAGTTATTACACATTTTTTAGCACAATGTCTTCTTCTATGAATCTGATGCTTCAAATCTTCAAGGGTAGAGCTGCAAGGAGGCAAAATGAAAGTATTGTCCCATCCCCCCCACCCCCCTTAATAATTTGATGCCTTAATTTCATGTTTAATTCACTCCTCAGTCTTTTAGTATGGCAGGGTGTGAGACTTTGAAACTATTCACATATGCAACTCAAATGTTTTGTGTGGCAAAATGCCCCCCTACCCCACCATAGTCATACCCTTGGTTTGGCATCACTTCTGATTTTTATGATGAAACACAAGTGCTCAGATTCAAAATTAGCATGAAAAAACAAGCAAATGTTTGTCCTTTTTTAAAAAAAAATGGTACTCTATTAGCACTATCAGTGTTTCTCTTTAGCATAGGAACAAGCAGCATAAGACTGTAAAAGGGGGATGTAGGATCGCATTACATTTTCTAGAACAAAAATGGAAAACCTGTAGAATATTTGAATTCCTTGATAATGTCAACCATCCTTCCTGAACAATGTTATTTCATATTTACTCCACAAGACAATGTAGAACAGATTATTTCAGATACAGCATATGCTGGCAAGATATTGTTTTGAATATAAGCTTGGGAGTTGGATGGTGTTAACATTTTGTACAGTGTCATTGTATCATATATCATCTAGTTATATCAGAATGCTAAAGGAATAATGAATAGCTTTAATACATTATAAGATAAATAGCAAAAAATATATAGAAAGGGGGAATATTTTTTCATAGCATCTTGATGTGAGATTAGGAGTGAATGAAAATGCATCAGATGTAGGTATAAAAGAGGAATGTGTTACATGAGAGGTTCAACGTGAAAATCTTCAAAATCAGATGGGACATCTTGAGGATGCTTCCAGAGTTATAAGAGTTTCCACTTAGGGCCCATCCACACAGTCCTATAACCCAGGATATCAAGGTGGAATAACCTACAATATCTGCCTTGAACTGGAATATATGGCAGTGTGGACTCAGATAACCCAGTTCAAAGCAGATATTGTGAGTTGATGTTCTAGGATATAGGGCTGTGCAGAAGGGCCCTTAGTTACATTGCATTAAAGTCACCAATTGGGAATAGAACAACAGTACTTTTAAAACATCTTCCAGTTTGTTGCTTTTTTTGAAACATGTGATTCATTTGTTTATTTTATTATTCGTTTTATTTAATCAGTTTTATTTGTTCATAGCTTCTGTCATCATGTAAGACTGAACTGGAATCAAACCAGCCCCCAAACTGTGTACCTAGCCTTTCTGAGACACTGAAATTCCACCTAAAGCAGGCCCAGTTTGTCTGCATCCCAGTAAAGTCTTTTTCTTGCCTGTATTTAGCCTCAGTTTATTTGTCTACACTCATGCCCCACTGTTGTCTCCAGACAACAGTTCTGGACTTTTACAGCTGCCTTGGAATCAACTGACAGAGGGATTGAGAGATTTGACTTGAATTACATTTTATATTCAACCTGAAGGTAATATTACCTAACTTAAGCAGTAACTCCAGTTTGGCCA